GGCGGCCCGGGCCGCCCCCCCGGGTCTGTGCACGCCTCGGTCCCTGAAGAAGCGTTTTAACGCACCCGCTCACAACGTGTGCCCTGCCTTTGTTCGCCCGTGTCCGTGGCACCTCTCCAGCCCCGAAAGCCTCTCCCATCGGGGGGTGGGGTGGTTGCCCTTCGGTTTGGGCAGTTGGAGTAATTCGGAGGGCGCACAACTGCACCCTCGGCCTTGGAGCGTCTGCGGCAGCGGTCCTCACGGCCGCTTAAACGTGACTTACTTGTAACACCGATGGAATTTTAGCTACTGTCTTCGTTGCACTGCAGCCCAGTCACCATTGCGTTACACTAGGGAGGCAGCGGGGTTATTTTCAGCGCTATTCTGAACGTAAAAACGAAAACCTGGGGCTCAAAAGATCCCACAGCAATAAAGCATTCATGCGGCATGAGAGAGTCACCAGCCAGGACGCTGATCTATGCCACGAGGAACGCAGGTAAGGGTGAAGAAAATGTGTTCCCAAAGATGTTTACCGGTACATTAAATCAAGTAATTTTTACTTCAAGTGGTCTTAATAAATAAATAATGCACTTAGGCCTATTTGTATTTTCTTTTTATTACAGAGAGACAAGTCTGAAACTTAAGTTTCATACAGGTAAAAATGTAATTAAGTTTAGAAAACCAGGACAATTTTCTGTGAAGCTCATACTGGTGAAATTGCAACACTGAAACTACATTTGTAAGCGTAAGAAAACTTAGGAACAATACTTTCAAAAATGTACATAAATGCACAGGAAATTCAAAGGTGAACACCTGACAATACAAATTTTTTAAAAGGGAACAGTAAAGCGGTCATCAGTGAGAAAAGTGTTCTTTCACCAAAATGGTAATCTTATTTCGCAGGAGTATTCCTTCCTCTTGGTGCACCAAGGCTAATCTTCTGGAAAAGAAGAACTGCATCGACAACACAGAGAACAAGCAATACAAGACCAAACACCTGTAAAAATAACAATAATGTTACTTTCCCCATAGAATCTCTATCTTCTATTGTAGTTACTCCTCAATCGTTCCTCAAAGAAGCAGTAAACACATCCTCCTAACTTGCTTCTGGCCTTCTAAATATATGTGTGATGTGAGACAGCTGATAAAGTAAGTAACATCTGTATTTAAATCCCCTACAGCAGTCTACACCCTGGCTTTTTTTGCTGTTTGTGTGATGCCTTGGAGGTGATGTGTTCTCCTTGAAAGCTAAGCTAATGCTGCATTATGCTAGACAATGCTTTTATCCTGAATCAAAACCCTTCTGTCTCTTCAAGGACTGCCTAATTAATGGTATCAGCGTGGAGGAAAGTCAAGATTTGTAGAAACGAGCCTAGCAGGAAAAAAACAAGTGCTCCTCTCCTCTGAAGCTCTGAATGAGAAACATGTTCCAAATAAATTGAAGAAAATGTATGTTAAGTATTTAAAAAATATAAAACTTCAGGCAGGCGACTGGCAAAAGAGCTGCTGAGTTAACTCACTCAGCTCTTGCCCTTTGGCCCGATCCCACATGCACACAAGTTTTTTTTATGCAAGCATGTTTTAAAGTGGAATTATCTGGTCAGTGGGAGTAATGCTAAGGCAAGCTCTTTCAGGAGGCCACAGTTCCAGGCAGTTTGTGCCCTAGGAGCACAGGCCTCGGGGCAATTCTGTTTCTCTCAACGCTGAAGATGTCATATGTCCTGCCCGAACTTGTTTCCAAGCTGCCTGCTTAGTCTCCTGCTTCCAACTTAACTTCACAGTTGAGAATATAAATTAGATTCTAGCATAGCCCGTCACTTTATCAGAAAGTCTCCTTTTTGCTTTGGATGTTGTTGCCAGCGAAGACATCAGCTTTCCACCTCATTGCCTCTTAAGCTGATTTCGAAAAACCCATGTGGCAAGTTCTGCGTTTCTTTTGGTTGCTCATCACATTTTAGCTTATCTTGTACTTCAAGAGACTTAAATACGTTCAAAACTGATTCCCCCTGCCCCCCCTTATTACTAATGTTAATTAGTTTTTACTTGAATTAAAAATACCAGTTGTTTAAACTATTAAACTGGCTTGATCTTAAAGGCACAAAAATCTTACAATCATAGTCTGAAAAAACCTTTTTAACTGGTGTAATTTCTCAGTTTGTGTCAGAAAAAAATAATATACACATCAAGAGGGAGGTACCAGCATGTCTGTTAAGAAGTTTCAACTCTTTTTAGCAGGATTGTAGGCATTTCTTCTTAAATAGTGTAATCAGACTGGATAGTCCTAAAAGAGCCAGCGATTCTCCCACCTAGAATTTCAAGCTGTGGAAGCAAATGCAGGTTACTCAGTTAAACTTTAGCAGCTTCCAGTGTTAGTACTTCTCTGTAGTAATTCCTAAGTCTAGTAATATCTTTAAATTACTAGTGATTTGAGGATTATATTTTTTTTTTTAGTGAAATACATTGAACGTGTGTTGACTTTTGTTTGCGACTTCTGCATACGTTTTTCCATGACAGCGTTGTTTCTGTGGTCTTACCGCAATGGAAGTATACCAAGAGGTTCACATCGTGTCTACTGTAAGAACTGAAATTCGTTAATAATTTTCCTACTTACTCCTCCAGCCAGTGTCCCATTGTTGGTCTTGATTATTACTGCAAACAGGCACACAATGAGGAGGAACAACGCTGCAATCACCGAGTTGAAAATATCCTGAAACAGCCAGCGGAAGCAAAGTATTTATTTTGAAATACACAACTAAAGAAGAACGTGAACAGCTCCCAATATTGTATGCCTCGTTAAGAATTGCTGTTTTACTATGAAAAAGGCATTACACTAGCATCCACCCAAGATCGACAGTGACACCCAGTGGTTTGATGTTAGAAAGAGCATTTGTGATAAAACTTCCTCTTTTTACCCACCTTCTTTTTTGGCAGGCAAATTTATGCAACTTGGCTGCGCTCGGCAGACTAAAGCAGCAAATATATTTAAAAAAGGGAGGTAAGAGGAGACCTCGTTAACGCTGACGTGAAAGCGCACCTTTAGTCTGTGATGTGAAAGATGAAAAGTACAGCACGATCAGGTTGAGCAAATGATGCTCGTTACCGGAGGGACCGTTAGCGGATGCGAGCCAGCTCTTTAGGAGCCGATGCAAGGGAGCACAGCACTGTCGCCTGTGTCAGGAGAACTGGCTCAACAAAAGCCAAGTCCTGCTTTTTGTCTTTAGCTCCACGGTAGCGGCGGCCGGGGGGTGGCCGGCAGCCCCGCCGGGGGGCACTCCCAGAAGGGGTCGCGCCGCTTCCCCCGGAGGGCCGGCCCCTACTCACCGCCAACGGCCAGAAGAGCCACCTCAGCTTCTTGTCCAGCTTTAGCAAGTACAGCAGGAAAAACAGCGCCGTGATGACCGTCTCCATGAGGGCCAGGGCGGTGTACGCCCCGCCCGAGCGGGACGCCACGAAGCAGAGGAACGTTACAAACGCCACCACCTGAGGGGACAGAAACGGTCACCGGCGGGGTGGTGGGGGGGGGTTAGTGCCCCGCCGGGGCCGCCCCCTCGGCAGCGGAGGAAGCCCGGCCCGGCCCGGCCCGCTCCCCTCAGGGCCTACCGCGCGGGCGATCTTCACAGCGCCCCGCGGGGAGCGCAGGAAGCCGCTGTCCCACCGCTTGTCCGCCGCCGCCATGGCGGCCG